TGTGAACTAATAAATATGAATTTTAAAAAGCTGTTTAAAGAGGAGGAATCACAGATGAAGAAAAAGTAATCAGAAAGGAAGGAGATGAACCAGGAAAGTATAGCTTAAAACTAAAGGCAGGAAAAATTCAAGAAGGAAGCTTTGGTGGGGAGGATAAGATTAATGTTGTTTAAGGGTAAAATTTGCAACAAGTAGTACATAGCCATAAAGATCTAATGCACAGTATAATAAATATTGCCAATAATATTGTACTATAATTATGTACTGTGAAAAACATCACAACAATGACGATCATATTAAAAAATATAAAAGTGTCAAAGTAACAGGTCGTATACTTTAAATTTACGCAATGATATATGTCAAATATATTCATTAAAAAAGGTGTTGCTTAAAGTGCGATCTGCCTCCTTTATTAGATTCATCTGGTTTGCCTCATATAAATGCAGATTCCTAGATCCCAACCCAGTCCTACTGAATCAGAAACTCTGTGCTTGTGGCCAGGGAATCTGCACTTTTAACAAGCGCTCCAGGTGAGCTTTATGCAGGCCGCTGGTGAGGCCGCTCGCATGCTGAGCAGGACAGTATGGCAAGGCTTGAAAAGAGGACCCATGACCTAACAGAGGGGCTCTGCTGACCCTAAGTCAGTTGTTCATCAGGCGTTAAGAAATAAACTTAACGGTAAGTGAACGTTGTTTGTTATTTTAAAAAATTAGGTAGTGAAGGTTGAATGAATACGGTATGGAACCTGTAGAGTGATCCAGCGACTATGAAAAATTGATTGGTTTGTTTTGTTTAATGAAATTTAATATTTAGAATAGCTTCAGAACATTTTTAAGCAGAGAACAAGGAACCATGGAGACGATGCCAAAGATAGAAGAAAAAAAGGTGGAGAGAAATTACAGGTGAACGTAGATGATGGAGCGAGGACATGGAGGAGGCTGGTGAAGGTCACAGGGACAGATAAATTAGTTTTGGAAGGTGTTTTCCAAGTGAGGGCAGGGTGAGAGCAGGAGTTTGGGGGAGATACATAGTATTTCTTAACTATTATTACAAAAAAAAATAGCAGCAAAACTCAATGATTGGATTACTGGCTGGTGAGGGCCTGCCATGGCCGAGTCTGCATAGATGGCTCTAAAAAGAGGAGATGGGGACAATGAGCACATGATCGGTGACGTCTAGCATGGCCCTTATTCAAAATTCAGTTTTGCGTTTAGACCGTAAATCCTGCCTTTCGGTTCAGGACATGTGTTCACCTTATTGACACCGCTCATGATATAAATGAATGGCAGATAAGCAAAATACTTCAATCTCAGAGATGTCAACTTGGATTAATTAAAGAGGTAACTGCTTTAAAAATGTCAAGCGCAACGTGACTTTTCAAAATTCTGGGAATGTGACATATTTCAAGGCAGCGATCTGCAATCGAATGCTCTCAGACTGACCACTTGCACTCAAAGTCATCAAGTATTTAGCTCGATTATTTTCAGACAGTTAACGAGGTGATTCTGGAGCTCTGGCTGTTAAAGCATCACTGCTCTCAAACCTCACGTGCCAACTGCTCACTCTCTTCCCACCTCCCCCCTTGCTCCTCCCCAGGTGACTCGGATGGGCTTCTCTGGTCAAGAGCTCTGGAGAAAATGCCTCATAGCCAAAGTATTTTCAGCCTTTCTATTTATTTCTGATCGCATAAAACTGGTATCACCGCTGCTATTACAGTTTCCATAAATCCGTGTTTGTCCCTTGAGTGAAAATCTAGTCATGATACAACCACTTTCCTCTTGGTCATACAAATGCTTTTAAGAGGATTTCCAGTATGGTTAGCTCTTAATACTAATACCTATATTCCACTAATTATAATAAGAATAGTACCTGTATTTGAATAATGTTTCAGTTCGTGAAGGCACCTTTAGGTGCATTACCTTGTATTGTTTGGGAAAAAAAGTGTATTTAAAAATGATGTCCATATGCCACAAGACAGTCTATAGATCAGGATGGAAAGCCTGAGTTGCATTGTTTATCGTGAGTCATAATTCTTTTCAAGATAGGGCTTCTCTAATTAGCTTTATAAATATAAATTGTGCCTTGCGCTCAGGATATTTCAAGGTATTGGCCTTGAACAATCATGTCAAGAAGTTTTACCTAAAACCCATTCACCTTTCTCTCAGATACAAGATAGAATCCGCTTGAGTGTCCGTCAGTGAATGACAGTGTTACAATGGCTCCTGGGTGCAAAGCTCAGGGGGCACATCCTACCAATGGTCACGGCATGGACTCAGGATTGACACTGTCCTGGCTACCCTGCTTTAGCGCCCAGGCTGAAAGGACAGTCTACCATCAAAAAACCCACTGGGGCAGGACTGAAGAATGGCTCATTGCACTGAGATGTCCGTCCTGCTTTTACCTTAGCAAGAATGTCCTCTAGGGCAGTGCGGTCCCCAACCTTTTTGGCACCATGGACCAGTGCTCCTATGAGCATCTGATGCTTGAGGATCTGAGGTGGAGCTGAGGCTGTGATATTGGCACTGGGGAGCGGCTGCAAATACAGATGAAGCTTCGCTGGCTCACCTGCCACTTACCTCCTGCTGTGTGGCCCGGTTCCTAACAGGCCATGGACCGATACCGGTCCACAGCCTGGGAGTTGGGGGACCCCTGCTCTAGGGAAGCTCTCCCACTTAACCAGTTTCCTGTCTTCAGATTTGGCAAGATCTGAATGTAGACTATGCTTTGGGATGGGGTTTTACAGCAATCTCATAATATTGTCAGGGTTTTGTTTAAGGCCAGAGGCTGGAAGAGTACCTCCATCCTTGCTTCCTTATTTTAACTCCATGCTATTATTTATGCACAATTTCTCTCCCCTGTGGTAAGTTCCTTAAAAAGTTGGAACTGTGAATTTCCATTTTTGGTTTTCTTTTTCCCATGCCATACTAAGCTTTGCACAAAAGTGGGCACTATTTAACTGCCTGCTAAACATTAATAATTAGCATTCTAAGTAAAATATGTTAACAAAGTTATTCTTAAATTTATTTGATAATAATTAGTTGATATTAAATGTATCCTTACATTTTCCTCTAGGTCTAACATTTGCAAATGGTCTATTTGTCAAGTACCTAAAATTCATTCATTTTCTTGGTTCAAAATTTA